TGCTTCCTCCTCGCTCCTGGGAAGGCTGCCACAGCAAAGGGTGAAGCTGGGCAGAGGTAGACATGTCCCCAGAAAGGCCAGGCTGAACAGAGAGTTGGTGGGTCATTTGAGTTCTCTTTATAGCACCTGCAAGATATCCCCCTGCCTCTCCAAGGATTTCAAGTTCCAATGAAAGGCTCAGCATTACTCTATTTGTTCTACCCTAATTTACCGTACCATCTATTTCTCTGAGGTGAAGAACCAATGAAAAAACTGGCAGTAATGGCAGGAGGCAGAAACAGCTGACAAGCCCTTATCAGCACGCCATGTCTGATCCTTTTGAAACACATCGGGTCAGTTCACCTCAGGAGTCAGTACCACGTATTCCAGGCAGGCTAAGTCACCAGGGAGGGCAGTGTCTGAGCTTTCCCCACCATTCCCAGCCATGACCAATAGCCACCCCACGGCAAATCAGCTCTTCCAAGGTAATCATATAATCTTATTAAAACTATGCCTACAGCTCAGATGTAGTTAGAATGGTAATAGTAAGAGCAGAGATTTTATGATCAGTTGTGAAGAGAAACAGCTTTCTACCAGGTCTCAACTGTGGCTGCTCCTCTGAAGAGCTGCTGCTGAAATGACTAACGATGCTATTTTCTGGTTCACAATATCCAGCCTCTCTCAAAAACACTATAGGGCTGACGTCGTTGACATTTGAACATTGAAAACTGAAAATACAGGAAGCAAATTAATATAGCCTTTCCTCAACTGAGAAAGAAGAAAGGCTTAGGAGGAGTTTGCCAAAAAAAGAAAGTGAGTTGGTTGTTCAGCATTAAGCAGCATTTCAGAGCAATTCTAAACGAAAGTCAAAACTTACTCTTAAAACTAGAGGATTCCTTGTGCTGGTTTTCATCCTCTAATGAAATTAATCTTAAAATAAAAAAAGAAAGTTTAGTTATCGAGTGGCACAGATGCGGTTATTTATGAGACAGCCAGATTTCAGTACAAGTCTATTACTTTAAAGCACACACACACATACACACAGAGAGAGGTTAACATATAGTCACTTATGTGCTTTACATTTTCTGAAAAAAAAAAAATTGCTCGTTTTCTGTCCCTTTCTAGTACTCACTATTTGCATTTGGTTTCATCATAAAGCACTGTTCTACATGTATCTAAAGAAACAACCGGGTATAATTAAGAGATACAGTTACCAATTAAAAAAAAACATAAAAAATAAACTGATGGCCAAGCACAGATTTATTCTGATCACTGTGTTATTGGAGAGAACACTCAGGAAATGAGCTAAACTACCTATGGTGGAACGCATGGTCTCTCCCACATCTAGGGGGATAGTTACCTACTTAACTCTTACCATATCTTTAAAGACCAAGACACATCCTTGCCCTGAGACTTGTTTGTTCCCTCTGACCCTTCCTCCTAGGACCATGGTTCACCTTTACTTACTATTTCTGAACAAACTTCTGGTTAAATTTTCATTGTCATTTAAAATATTCACTGGACTGTACCTTTTGAGCTTCTGAAAATTAAGTGTTAAAATGTTTGAGAAATCTAAAATAATAAAAGTGAATCAAGGAAACTCTAGATAGTTCCATCTGAGTAAAAGTTAATGCTTTTTTTCCCCTAGAAGAATGTAGTTTGATACTTATTTAGTATACAAGGTTTGTGGACCAGTGTAACAAATACAATTTTTACAAATCTGTTTTGAAAAAGTTGTGGCTGTTTATTTGGGTTCCATGCTCTTAATTACTTCATCCATCAGGTTTTTTTTTTTTTTTTTTTACTTCTTTGTGTCTTGTAACTGCTCGACTCACACAGTCCTGAAGTTTATTTCCCGTCAGCCCACTTCCACCTGGTTTGTGAAGAGAGCAGAGCTTGCCTTCCTCATCCATTACTACCTTCAAGGTTCCCATTGCCAGATGTTCTTCCTCTCCAGTAGGGCCAACTATCCGTAAAGTGTCATCAAACACAGCAAAGGATGTTGCAACTGAATGAGCTCTAATATTCAAATAACTTTTCTTCTTTAAATTAACTTCTGCTAGTGCAGTTTCTTCATTTATAGTAACTTCAGGTAACTATGTTTTTTAAAGCTGCTAACAAAGCAAATGCGCGAGCATCTGAAATGTTTCCATCATCGTTGAGGCAAATGAGAGCACGGTACAGAACCCAAGCAAGCTTTCCTGGAGCAATGCATAAGTCCTCTTTCTGAATTAACTGTGAATTTTCAACGACATCTGCAATGAACTGGCTAGCCCCATGGGCCTCTTCTCCAGGAGGTCCTGACCGAAATTTCAATGAACACAGGGGTGGTAGATCCACATTAGGAACAATATATTCTTTTTTTTTTTTTTGGAGAGGTTTTTCGCTATAGGGCACGTGCGCTTGCCAGACAGAGAGAGACATAGAGACAGAAAGTGAGAAATCACCCCCCGGGGGGGATGGTCACACCGCAATCCCTTCTCCTCCATTCTCCTCTCGGGATCTTGGGCACGCACGCACACGCGCCCGGCGTGAGTTTTAAGCCACCGGGTCCGGGATGTGAACCGCGGTCGACTACGTGGGAGTCCAGCGACATAGCCATTACACTAACTGCTGGTTCCCAGGAACAATATATTCTTGATCAGGGGCATCTGTTGATGGTGCTGCAAATTCCGCTTTAACTCCACAAATTACTGTAGTATTTCCCAGCTTCACTAATTCAGAACCATCTGCACTACTGATTGAACCCATGTTGACAGTTGTGGTTCTGAATTCACCAAGTTCTCTTCCATCAGGATGGCAGTTCTCCTTTAGAAAACTCCTGTAATACTCCAGAGGCTCCACGGTTTTAAACCGAGCCGGCTGCCATCTTCCCGTCCACGTGCTCCTTAATGCTTTGTTTTGATCACATTAACTTATGTGGTGAAAAGAGGATGTGGGGAATCGCTCTAGGCTTTGAATCTTAACACACAAGGGGCCATGGGCGGTTTCTTAACCTCTCCGAGTCTCACTTCTAGCACATATACTGTGGGGCCAAAAAAATTGAAACTTCATTTAGAAATGTAGTAAAATATGTAAACCTGTTTTACTGTAAGATTGTCATAATTTTTTTTTTTTTTTTTTGTATATGGAAAAGGACTAGAGAACAAGGGCAGGGTCATCTATGTGCATTCCTAGGTCAACTCCTTCAAAGATTAACTGTACTCCTGCTGGCTCTTTTATCTCTGTAGACAATGACATGGATTCACACTTGAGCCTCCTTCTCACTGCCTGGGACAGGGGACTAAGTGCCATATACGTTGAAAAGTTCATCTCTGTGTTGAAGATGACAGGAAAGGCAAGAAATCAGAGATGGAGAAATCACTTCCTACACTCAAAGCTGCTCTCTGCTTCACAGAAAAGAAAACAGAAAGTAGAACAGTAGAAAACAAGATGTCAAAAGCTGACACTTCTGTATGACAATGCCTTCTGTGTTAACTAGGCCAATTTCATCTATCTCTAGGAGAGAAAAGCCAGGGGTCAGCATCTTGTGTGTGATTGACGGTGACAAGAGGACCAGGCTGGGTTCAGAAACCAGACAGCACATATTTGACTGGGCCTGGGCCACAGGACAGGGAGCCAGGAAGCACTGGGCACATTTACCCCATCAACCACTCACAAATGTGCCCAATTTTTGTGCTCTAGAAATGGGTCTCTTTTTCTTTTGAAAAAACTTTGCACGTGCTTGCTGGAGACAGAGAAAGGGAAAAAGAGAAAAAGTTGAGAAGTACCCCGCAATGGGGGAAAGCCATGCTGCAATCCCTTCTCCTCTACTTCTCCTTTTGAGATTTTGGGGCATATATGAACACATGACCTGGCATATTTTTCAAACTGCTGGGTCTCGGACACAAATTACAGAGTCAGTCATGTGGGATCCAGCTACCTTAACCACCATCCCACTGACTGACCCCAGAAATGAGTTTCTTACTGGGTGAGTCCCAGTCTACCAGGAACATGCACTGAAGGAGTTGGGCCTCAGTGTTAACACAGCTACTCTGAGAATTGAGGAAGTAAGACAGTCATCCTGTGTCTGAGTTAATCACTCCAGCTAAACTTGGTCAGTGAGGCCTGTGGTACCCTCACCTGGGGAAGAAAGACTGTGCCTAGAGACGTGGCCATGACTTACTGACTCGGCTCCTGCACTGCTGCTTCTCTGCTTTCCTGCTGGGTGATCTTCTTCTCTTCTTTCTCAACCAGTTTCTTCATAGGGTCTTGTAAGCTCTTTATCACCAGCCATAGATAATGTAGATAATGGGTGGGTGGTGGAGAAGAGAAGAAAAGAGGCGAGAAAAAAAAGAAAGATTATAAATAAAAAATTTAGCTGACATTGGTCCCAGCAATCACACCTTAAATAAGAGGTAAGAGGAGGTCAAGGTTGAACCAATCCAGTGGGCAGAAATAAAAGTTAATGTTGAGAAGCAACAACATTCTCAAACCCATCCACGCAACACTAGCCCACAACAGAGAGTTGATTTGCCACTAGATTTGTAGGTTATTCAAAAGGAGGTCTTCTGGCTATTGCTAATTTTATTTTCTAACTTTAACATGCAGCTAAGATAAACATTCTGTTCTGCTTACAGCCCACACACTGACAGAGAATCTTCCCCATTCTTCTCAAGATGAGACAATTTCATTTTAATTTTAATTTTGCTTGCTATTTTGTGATCTAAAAACTGCTTAAAAAAACCCCAGAAAACAAAGCTTTTTTTAAAAAAAAAATATATATATATACACCAAAAATAGTGCTCTAACATGTTCTGACAACTTAACTCCCACGAGTGGACAGAGCAGGTGCATTCAAATCCTTGTAGACTGAAAATGGGTAAGAGTCTTTTTTTGGTACATCATTTATTGAAGTTACTATTTTCAAAGTTTATTAAATATTTAAGTAAAGATTTTTTTTTTTTAAAAAGCTAGAACTGTATACCAGTGACAAAGACCCAGAAAGAAAAAGGCAAAACATTTTCATAACAACTGAATAACAAGTTACACAAAAAGATCTTTATTTTTGGCTCTAATTAAAATACAAACCTCAAAATACAAAAGAAACATCTCAAGATAGTTATCTTTCTTATATTCTCAAAACTACTAAGATACAAGTACTCATCTCTGGTTTTCACCTCTATTCTTCTGTCTTCTTAGTTTCACTCACTTCTCTAGTCACACACACACACACACACACACACACACACACAGAGGAGGTGATCAGGTTCCCTAGCTAGCCCCGATTAGAGATAGTCTACTGGAGGGCTGGCTGAAGACGGTTCCAGGTTTGTGTCTCGCAGAGCAGAGGTGTGACTGATTTTGGAGTTTGCCGTGGACACCAGTTGGATCCTGATGCTATACCTCCTAACTACCAGCTTGGTTTCACTCCCTGCACAGAGAGTTTTCCTAAACCACCCATGGCATCATGCTACCCCTTTCCTTAGAATCCTACAGTTCCTTATTTCTCTCCATTTCTAGCCTAAAGCTCTCTGCCTGATATTATAGCTCTAAAATGTGATCCTATCTTAACTCTCCCAGTTCACTTCCCACTGGCCCCAAATATGAACTCTCTCCCTTCAGTTAGGCCTGTCTCCCTGTGGTCTCCTGCGTGCTAGGTGTTCCCTTCCTATCTTCGTTCACTCTATTTGTCCATCCCCAGAAATCCTATGACTCTTCCCAAAGCCCAGATCAATTATCTGTATTTTTTGTAAAACTTCGCTAAGCATGCCAGTTTCTAGAAGGTCCTTTCATCTCCAAATTCCATTTATAGTTGTATTAATATTTGATAATGTCTATCCTATATAATAATTTATCTCAAAAATTTTTTTTGGTTAGAAAAATATTCCAACAGAGAAAGTTAAAAATATAAAAAAGTAAAAATTACTCATAATTCTATTTGCACACATTTCCTTTGGAGATTTGGAGCATGCATATGCATGTACCCACCATGTTTTTCAAGCTGCTGGATCTGGGACTTGAACTATACAGTTAACCATGTGGGATCCTGCTGCCTTAACCACCAATACCACTAGGGACTGGCCCATTCTTTCTGTTGTTTTTTTTTAAATATTTTATTTAACTTTATTTTTATTACTATTATTATTATTTTTCAGTTTGATCAGACAGAGAGAGAGAGAGAGAGGGAAAGTGAGAGAGCAAGCCGCCAGGTCCAGGACTTGAACCATGGTTTGCCATGTGGGAATCCAGTGCCTTTAACCACCATGCCACCTGCTGGTCCCCCTTTCTGTTTTTCTTTTTTCCCCCTTTACTCATACTACTTAAATAATTAGAGTCATCGCCTACATATATATATATATGTATATAATATATATAATATATATTATATATGTATATAATACATATATATGTATATATACATATAATATATATTATATATATTATATGTATATAATAAATATCCTGTTAACCAGTATAGTTTCTTTAGGCATCTTATAACCAAAAAATTTATTAGTGTAGAAAATATAAAAGGATTTGATATGTCTTAAATATTAATATTAAATTGAAACATATACATGTAAACTCATTCACTAATATTCTACGTAGGAGCAAGTTCTTCTCTTTGAATGTATAAAAGAACTTCAAAAGGTTTGTGGGAAAATAGAATTAAAGTATGAATTTATTTTGGTGCTCCCCCCAAAAAACCCCTGAAATTCATGATTAATTTTTTTCATGCTAAGCATCTTCCATGAACTTTTTGAAGACCCACCTCATACATTCCCTGATAATTTAAGCATGTTCTTGCATAGAGCACATCCATAAGGCATTGCCGTCATTCTTAATGACTCTATATTTCCAGACCTGTGGATTAGTTTCTTCAGTCAACAAATATTTTTTGAGTACCTACCAAGTGCCAGGTGCTGTTTTGGGTGCTTTGAATACATTGGTGCACAGGACAGACAAAATGATACCTTGGTGAAGGGTCTAGGCAGATAATTACAATAGAGGGAGAGAAGAGATTGGGCCATTACTTCAGTTAACAGGATGTCCTCTCTTGAAAGTGACATTTCAACTGAGAGCGCTGTAAATGACAAGGAGTCAGTCATGTGCAACTCAGGAAGAAGAGGAGGCCCAGAATGTGAAGGCTCAAAGGTGGGAATAGCTTGGCTTGTTTGAGGAACAAAAAGAATGCCATTGGGGCTGCAGTGTGGTTGGCAAGAGTACAAGTCCTATGAGACTGGGATAAAGAGGTCAGCAGGGGTCACACGGGAAGAACATTCCTTTACCCAGATTCATCAATATTTAACATTTTGCCCATTTTCTTTCATCCTAATTTTTTGCTCTTTTTGCTCTCTAATGCATGACAACTAAATGTAATGCATGATCTTTGGCTGCGGCCTTGAGTAGAGGACAAAATACTACAAAGGATGGTATTAGAACAAGTAAGACCATTGGAATATAGACTGCCATGTACATGTTTATGATTTTTTACATAAAAAAATAAAAGCTGGTAAAAGCTGGACACATATGTGTGTGCTTGTGTGTGCATTTTGGAAATATGTGACCATGTGGAGAAGTTCATCGAATGTCAAGGGCATATTCTTTTCAATAGATGTGCCAATCACAGCATTTCATTCACACACACACACACACACCCCTCCCAGCAGTTTTATTCCCCCACAGAATGGTCCAACTCTGGTTAAAGTGAAGCCAGAAGTATTTTCAGCCAAGGTTCTGAAGGCTCCCAAGACTCCCTTTCAGAGTTTTGTGACACTTGCCCAGGCCTCCTGGTTTGCTCAATTATCTTCTCATTGTGTTTCCTTTTTATCAATCAATGCTAGGCAGGGCCAGGACATGTCTGCTCTCAGCCGGCCGTGTCTAGCTGCCACAGCGCCTGCCTAAACCCCTGAGATGCCCTTGACAGCTCCACGGTTATCATGCCTTCTGTCTCCAGCCTGACCTCCCCTCATAACCACACTTGAGCAGCTCTCAGACAATCCCTTTGTAATGTAAACCACTCATTCCTTCTTTTCAACCCCTTCCCCTGTTGGGTCATTAGCAAGGGCTCAATTGTTGGCTCCCTGTCACCACAATCATGGTTAAGTCACTATTGTGCTTTGCCAACAGAATGGCAGCAGTTCCAATTGCTACTTTAATTTATTATTAATAATTCTTGTGACAGTTGGTCCCCTCTTCCTACTATTACCATTGTCCCTATAACAATTTTGTTGTTGCAGCTCAAGAGAGGTGCTAAATATTTGTTGGTTGATAAATTAATATAAAGAAGTTTAGACTGAAAATCTCCGAGCTCTTTAGCTAAGAAATTCAAGGTTCAGAAGCATTATATGACAAGTTTTATAAAACCACAAGCAAAATTAATACTAAGCACACAGGCCTGTTTCAAGTTAAATATTAGAATTTTGAACCAAGGGGAATTTTGTACATACACACATTTGCACATTAGCTTAACTGAGATATAATTCACCTTCCGAAGAATTTGCTCATTTTTAAAGTGCACAATTCAGTGGTTTATAGTGTATTTACAGGGTTGTATAATCATCACCACGATTCATTTTAGAACATTTTCAAGGGGAAATCTTTTGAAGTGAGAAAGAGTTTTTAGGTCAAACTAAGCTCAATACTCTTCTATGTAGCAACGGGGGAAAAATCCCAATATATAATGGAACATATAGTCTTAAAAAAGATGATACACAGTGAAGACAGAAAGCGGATAAGGGGAATTCTGAAAGATCACAGAAGATAAATCATGACCTTCTTCTCCCCCATTAGTTCCTGGGCCCAACTATCATATTCTACAGGTGGATAGCTACTTTCCCTAAGGCTGAATTACAGAGGTTCAGGGGGTAGAAGTTGGAGGTGAACTCTTCAGATTATTTCAAAGTACACAACTCAGCTGAAAATGCTTACTCCTATAGCACCCATAAAGTCCAGAGTGACAGTATTTTTTGTGAGATGTGAACACTTGCTCAGGCGAAAGAACACTAAGCTGCGTGGCAGAGGATGTGCAGATGAGGCAGCCCTCAGAGGAAACTTTCCAATCACTGACTGATGGAAACCACATTTCAATTAATGCCCAGAAAGGAAAAATTCAAAAGCATTCTGTTCTAAACTCTAAACCCACTTGGTCCTTCCTAAAATCGCTGGGTACTAGCAACAAAGCAGCGTCATACAAGACTGGAAAGTTCTCTACAGAGGAAACAATGCTTATAAACCAAGTAACCTTTCTCTGTTAAGGGTGCACCAACATGCTAATAGTT